TCTGGTCCTCCCCAGTGGGTGTTTCTCTTTGTAACGCTTTTTGAGAGCTGAGTGCATTGGCACTTTATTCATTTTATCCCTTTGCACTTTCAGAATCAATCCCAAGCTGCTCATGTTCCCTTCTTGCAGCTGATCTTATAGCCTCATAGCTTCTGTGGTTGTTTTGACAGATGTTCTGTTATACTGGGATGAGTCCATTTGTACTGGGATATGACTCTGTCTTCCTTAATCACATGATGTTGCCTTTCCCCAGATCCTTCTGGCTTGCAAACACCCTCTCGATGCTGCACCTCCCAACAAGTTCTACTGCCCCTTCTCCCTGCCTCCACCTGAGGTGTCCAGTGCCCCCATGCACAGCCTCCATCTTGTCTGACTCCGTGCTCTCCTCTAGGTGAACTACACCCTCCTGGGGGAGATCTGCAACCTGTGGCGGAACTACGATGACATCCAGGACTCATGGGACAGCGTGCTTTCCATTGTGGACTGGTTCTTCACAAACCAGGATGTGTTGCAGCTGGCTGCTGGCCCTGGCCACTGGAACGACCCAGACATGGTATGGCAATGCACCCATCACCCCCTGACTATGCCTGTCCTATAGCACAGGTGTCACTGTCCTTCATCTGCTCAGCCTGAGTGGAAGGGAGTTTTGAATCGAAGGGCATCATCAGGTGCTTTTGTGTGGGCCAATTCCTTAGTGCCTAGCAAAGATGGATGTCCTGGCTGTAGGGAAGCAGTAATACTTGTGAAGCTTGCCATGCTTGCTCCTACCATACAGGCTGCAGCATCAGCAGGCAGGACACGTGGACATGCTTTTCACCCTTTTCACAACCTTTGCCTTCTTTCCCCTGCAGCTCATCATTGGAAACTTCGGTCTCAGCTACGAGCAGTCACGCTCCCAAATGGCCTTGTGGACTATCATGGCAGCTCCGCTCCTCATGTCCACTGACCTGCGCACTATCTCGCCAAGTGCCAAGGAGATCTTGCAGAACCGCCTGATGATCCAGATAAACCAGGACCCCCTGGGAATCCAGGGGCGCAGGATCATCAAGGTTAGGGGAAGGACGTACATGTTTGGGAGAACATAGGCAGAAGAACATGAGGAGTGATGTGGGCATTAGGGTCTGTCTCACCTGTCTGTCCTCACCATAGGAGAAATCCCACATTGAGGTGTTCCTGCGCCCGCTGTCTCAGGCCGCCAGTGCCCTAGTCTTCTTCAGCCGGAGGACAGACGTGCCCTTCCGCTACACCACCAGTCTGGCCAAGCTTGGCTTCCCCGAGGGAGCAGTGTATGAGGTGAGCCCTGAGGGCACCCTATGCCTGCAGCCCTCCTTCCAGCTTCCCACTGCTGGCACCACTGCATTTTGGGTGGGTTGTGCCAGGGGAGGTTCAGGTTGGATATGAAAAACAACTTATCCAAAAGAGTGGTGCTGTGCTGGAACAGACTGCCCAGAGAGGCGATGGAGTCACCATTCCTGAAGGCATTCAGGCAACGTGTATGTGGCACTGAGAGACATGGCTAGTGGGTGGGCATGGTGTGACGGGTTGGTGGTTGGGTCTCAGCAGTCTTTTCCAAACTTAATGATTCTAAGACCTGACTCTGGAAGGACCTCAAGGTGAAGGTCTGTACCCGCTGTCTCTTCCAGGTGCAAGATGTGTACAGTGGAAAGATCATTGGTGGTCTGAAGACCGGAGACAACTTCACAGTGATCATCAACCCCTCAGGGGTAGTGATGTGGTACCTGTGTCCCAAAGCGCGGCTCATCCAGCAGCAGGCCCCAGGGGGGGCCTTCCGCCTGCCCCTTCTGTGAGGCCCACGGCCACTAGGAGCCCCAGGACACATCTCACTGCTGCTCAAGTGCCTTATTCTGGTGTGGTTGGGGGAAAACATGCAGTTTGCTCCTCTGGCACTACCTGATGATTTCTACTCATTCCATGTGTTCTTGTTACTCCCTCCGGAGGGCATGCAAAGCACTCTGAGGTCCTCCTGTGGAAGAGGAGTGCCCCCAGTGACCATCCTTCAGGACCAGATGTGGTCGCCTTTTTTCCCTTGCTTGGCTTAGGACAAAGGGCTGTCCACAGGGCTGCACCTCTCTTCCCAGGCACCATCCCCAGACCAGGAGCTCCTGGGGCCAGGTTGTCTGTCTGACAGCAGGATCAGCAGGCAATACCACTACAGCATAGTCTGCATGCTATGAAAAAGAAACCTAAACAAAACGTGTGCCAGCACTGTATTGAACTTGCTCTGATTACAGCAGAGCAAAACGTGAGTTGTCCATGCGCAATCCCAGTAGCCTCACTATGGTGTTAGCATGAAAAATTGCAGAGCCATAGTGCATCGTGCACAAGTGGTGTCTGGAAGATACTGCTGCTTGTTTTTGGTGGTCTTAAGCTGGGAGATGCTCGTGGGTGCTGGCCAACTTGCATCTCGGTCTTGTGAGGCTGAACCCTCCAGCATTTCTCAGGGAAAGGCTCCTCCTTTGAAAGGCAGACTGCACAAATAGAAGGGGCTCAGAAGGATCCACAGAGGAGGGGCTCAGGTGGGCTGTGACCTCCCTCGAGCACCCCAGGAGGGGTGCAACACTCAACCAAATCACCCCGCCAAGGACAGGGCAACCCAGACAGACACATACAAGGTTTAACCTCAAAGCAGGAAATCACCATATTTTAAAATTAGTGAGAAATGGAACTTCCCCATTCTATTCAGATGACAAATGAGGGCTAGAAGCCCACTCCCCTTCTTAGAGGACCATGTGGACAATTCCTGCCCTTGCAGAGACTTTGTGGTGCGGCAGCAAGATGCTGAATGTGATGCTTTGCAGTGCTAGAAAGAAACGACGTGTCCATTTCATGTTTGTGTGCAAGCTGGCTTTGTTTTGGTGATTTTGACAATTTAACTGAAATAAAAGGGAAGCAGGGTGCTGGTTGTTTCAGATTTACTCAATTAATGTGGGATTTTAGGGTCAGTTCCTCAAAACACAACAAACTACACTGGAAAAAAAAAAAAGTAATGGCTTCCCATTGGACTGGCTTGCAGTGAGCAGAAGGGGGCTTCCTAGTAGTTAGATTGTGCTCAGTAAAGCACTGGCTTCCCTTGGCACAAGGGGAAACTCAGATGTCATAGTCCACAACCAGCTGCCATTTTCCTATTTATCCTGTACTAGAGAAAACAATAGCAGTGTGGTGCCTGCCCTAGGACACAGTGTACCAGTTCTGGAGATCTGTTCTGGACAAGAACAATGCCACAAATCAGCCTTGCCCCCTCCAAAGAAGAGCTGAAGCCAATACTTCTGCCCCACCAGATTACTTGGCTCCAGTGTGGCTGTGCAGGAGGAAAACTGGCTCACCACCTGAGAACAGCCACAGTGGTCCCTCTGTTGCAGCTTCCTAGGCACCAGGCAGGATCAATGACAGTCAACACAATGCACACACACCACAGTGAACAGGCAAGTATCAATGCTTCTGTATTAAAGTGCAATTCAAAAGTTACAAACTTTTTAAAATACAGAGTCATCTGAACACCTCTAACTCAAACATCAGGGGTGTTTCTAACTAAGGAAATTTACCTTCCTCCCCACGCAGGGCTGCTTTAAGAATTCAACAATTTAAGCCACGCAAGCCTGACTTACAAGAAGGTCCTGACACACATAGGTTAAAAGGAAAGAGAGACCTTCCCCTTCACTGTGAAGGTAGGAAGGCTGTGAAAAGAAGTACAGTTATCCCATACATAAAGGATCACACGGGTCTCCACCAGACTAGAGGGGCTTTTGTCAGAGCAGGCTTAATGGCACTGTGTCCTAAAGAGGAAGGAAGGCTGGGGCTGAGCAGCCACAGCCTCTGCAAGAGACCCAAGCGTTAGTAACACCACACAGAGTACTGCAGCTCCGAGCAACCAAATCCCACTTCCACAGCACCTACCCTTGCTGCTCAGGTGTAGGCATGCATGACCTGGCTGCTGTGGCTTAAGGAAAAGACAAAAGCCACTTTTTGCTCATCACACAGGCATGGTGGCACAAGCTTCCTCAGCAGAGGGAGCCAGCACTGTGGGATCTCCTGACAAGGCCAGTGTTGAGTTATCTTCATAACATAACACATTTTGCTTGGAGGCAGCAGATTCCTGCTCAGCTTGACTCCACTATGCAAGAATAACTGTGACACAGGATCATTGCACAGATACAGACTTGCCAATTCACGTGCCTGTAGAGCTCAACTTACCGCTCTGCAGCACACTCCTGCTGATCTACTCAAGGTCTACAAAGGCAGGCTGATTTTATGGGGGTCGCTGCTTGCTTTCAGTTAAATTTCTCAGAGCACTTTTGCCAGCAGCATCAGATGACCAAGCATCTACAGCTGCACCTCACAGCAGAAAACAAGGAGACATCAGGGAATGCAGGCCCTCCACCAGGGAGGGCAGCACCTGAGCACTTCCCTATTTTGTAAGGTTACAGTTAAATAGGAAAGGACACAGAAATACTAGCAGATGATCTGCTGCAACCAAAGCAGGCAAGCCTGTGCCCAGAAACTCCCCTGGCTACCCAGGAGTGCAGTAGGATTGACCCTTCTAGAGCTAGTGCTGAGCTGGGGTCCATCTCCAGCTCACAGCCCCAAATGCTTCAGCGCTTCTCAGGACGCATTTCCCAAGCGTGTCACCCCATGACTGTTAGTTCAGGACAGGAAAAGAAATGTGCTTCCAGCACGACACGGGATTTCCAGAGTCCCATCACATGCTGAGCTGTGCCACAGTTTAAGGAAATTCAACACCTTTTCAGTTTATGCAAGGAAACTTCATGGCTTTCTATATTTTCTTCTTTGATGGTGCTTCAGAAGAGAAGTTCAGCACTGCAAGTAGTTTTACTCCAAGATGCCACAGCTTTTGTATTTGACTCATAGATTAGTGATGTGATCTACTGGTTTAAGAAGTCCATCTCTCTCCTCAAGCCAAAGGCAGAGCAAAAGGTTAGTGCTTCGACCCCATGAGATAAAGCAAAGCAGCAGGAAAGTGCTATTGTTCTGCCTTGTATTGCCAGTCACTTAACGTTTAAGGAGGGCAGATGCTCAGCTGCCCAGCACTACACACATTGTACATACACAGAGAAACACAGAGATACGCTAACCCCATGGGTAGTGACAGCCTAATTGTCTTCTGGGAGAGAGAGTGTGGGAGGCTGGCTGCAATTTCTGTCTGTTAGTTGTTTTTCTTATCTTCAGGAGGTGCATAAGGAGGTGGCTGATCCTGGAAAGAGATAGAGATAGAGTAGTCAACAATCCTGCCTGCTTCATGAAGAGCTCTTCTCAGAGATTCTCAGGCTTGACTTACAAGAAGTTACTGCCAGATCTGAGTGCTGTTTTTTAAGCTATCATTGCACTGCATCATCCCTCTCCAGCATCAGTTAATGCTCCAGCATACATGCTACCTCCCATATTATTTCCATTGAACATCCCCTTGAAAATAGATAACAAAAGCTCTGTTTTAAATCTGTATCTCCGCTACCAGGGCTTTGTCTCTGCTGCTGCTTTCACTCTGACCCAGCCCACACCAAATGTAGCTACAACCTGCTTACCAGCTGCCACTCACTGAACCATGACAGACCTCTCCCAGGCAGCCCAGAAAAAAGCACAAGTGAGAAAACACAAAGGCTGTTGTCCTTATATGATCCGTTCTTCTTTAACTCTTCCCACTTCCAAACATTACAGAAACAGAGAGCTCTACTCACTGTGTACATGCAACTATTTTATGCACGTAAGAATGAGACAAGTACTAAGCTGCCACTGCTGGATGAATCTTAATGTCCTCCATTCTTGATCAAAGATTTAACAAACTGTCTTCGTGGCACTGTCATCCATGCCTCCTCCCAGGAAAGTGAACATTTTCTGTGCTTTTTCAAAATTAAGGCACTCTAAACTTCACTAGGAAAGCAAACTTTTGCCTCTCTACGCAATGGAAGAGCAGACACACACAGACCAGAGGCACAGTACTTACCATGGGCATGTAGACATTGTGTGGGTTAGCAGGGTTGTAATACGCACTGGAAGCAGCTTCCATGGCCTTACTGTTCCCTAGAAAGGAAAGAGAAGGAGCAAACATAAGGCAGGCCTGTTTCTTACACAGCCACCCCACCCTCCAGCCCAGCCACAGCTTTTCTGAGGAGTCAAGAAATGTCCCAAGAGACAGGAGCTATCACAGCAAGTTTGTCTTGAATTCACAGCACTTCAGGAAGTCTGAAAACCAGCTAAAGATGACCACAAGCTGTATAACTGAGAGCTGAGTGCCTTGCAAGACCCATTATCTCAAATAACAGATCAAGATAACAGCTCCTGCAACAGCAGCAGCTGGGTGCTCCCAGTGTCACCCGCTGCCCCAACCCCTGAGCAGCCTTTTGTATCAAATCTGCTTACCTGGCATACCTGAGTCCACCCAGGGTGTGGAAGCTGGTGGGGCTGAGGGTCCTGCAGGAGATGGTCCAGAGTAGGGGGGAGGAGGAGGTAACACACTGCTGGAATTCATGTTGGGGAGCGGTGGGTAAATACCTGAAAAGAGGTGACACCAGACTGATACTTTGGACTACGGTGACAAAAGAGAGGGACAGCAAGCTCCCAGGCCCAGACCTGGGCAAGAGGAAGGATCCGTGAGGAAAGCTCAGTGAGGATGCAGGCAGCTGCAATTTTACATCTTGCTAACACCTGCCACACCAGCAGGCAACAATTCTGTCAAGAAGCAGCACAGTCTACATACTGCATTCCCACCTCCTACCTCCTGTTCAGCTGCAACTAGAGAGACACACAGGTGTAACCAAGACCATGACAGACTTTGCAAGGATAAGGACCCTTGATGGAGACAAAACTACAATAAACCTCACCACAGCATCAACATTTTTACAACTAATACTCAACAAACCCCACCACACATCATCACACCACTTCCATACCTGGATTCTGGGCATACGGATACCCCATGGGCTGGGGAGCAGGTCCATATGCATTCATTGGAGGTGGTGCATAAGGATAAGGACCATTTGGAGGTGGTGGAGGAGGAGCATAGCCCCCCGGTGCAGGTGCATATCCTCCTGGAGCAGGTGCATAGCCACCTGGAGCAGGTGGGACAGGGGAATACCCTCCAGGTACAGGTGTGTATCCATAGCCAGGGGGCTGGAGAGGAGCTCCACTGGAAGCTAAAGAGCACATATTTATTAAGTCAGACATCTTTTTGCTGCAACTGACTGCATGGAATAAAAAGAAAATAGTCCCATTCACGTAGACCAATCATCTAAATTCTAGAGATGCTCACTACGCAGTCACAGCAAAGTACTGTGCTTAAAAAGGACTAAACTATAGTTGCTTTGCTGTAAACTCACATGGTGCTAAAGGAAGCCAGCTGCAAACAAGCAATTAAGTAACAACCCAAATACATGGCTCTAACTAGAATAAACTGTTGTTTTAAATAAGTACCAATAGTTTTAAAATTTCCTTATCAGAATAGATTTTATATCTCTTTCCTTTCAGAAGTTTTAAACATAAAATTTTTTAGTTTTTTCTTTCTGCAAAAAATTTCCTCCATCTCACTTCACTATTACAGTTGAGGGAAAGTACGGGGATCAGTTTTTCCATCCTCGTGTTTCAATTCCCCCCCCTCCAGGAGATATCAGGCTCCATAGAAAAAGGTAAGCCACCTCAGAAGCCAAACTCCAGCAAGTTCTGATTGCATAAAGCATTAAGTCAAAATAAAGAAAAAGGATTTGAAAAAAAACAAACAAACGAAAAAAAAAAAACCACCAACAAACAAAAAAACACTGATGTGGAAGATGTACGGTGTAAATTCTCTCTTCCTCTCCACACACTTCAGGAATGTGAAAAAGAGCACCTCCTCCTAACCAGCTCAGCCAGCCATAGGAGAACTACAGGCTCCGAAGATCTCTTACCACTAGAGGCAGCTTTGAACATCAGCTGTCCAAACTCAATGGCTCCTCCACTGTTGAAAGTCAGTTTAAACGTTCCCTGCCCTTCCCAGCCACCTAGGAGAGAGAATTAAAATTGAAATAGATTATTGACCACCTCAGTAGCAGTCAAGACAGCAAAACAGTTAATGTTCAACTTATTTTTATTCTTTCTCATTTTAGAAATATTTTAAAACCACTGTTTTAAAGATTTCAGTCTGAGAAAGCGGGTTTATGACAATCCAGACAACGCAGTCACAAAGCATTGTTAGGAACAGCAATCAACAGCATAGGCCAGATGCCATCAAAATACACATAAACTAATTCCAAGAAAAACAGAAAAATTTTGAACCAGAAGACTTGCTTTGAATCCCTGCCTGGCCTCCTGCAGTCCCCCATGTCTGATCATGACTGTGACTTTAAGTCTCAACACAGTTACGTCACCAGGTAGGAAAGAAAGCTAAATCAGTGACACACGGCAGCATTCTAGATGCATGCAAACACATCCAAGCTGTAAAGTGCCTGCTGGCCTCCAGAAAACACCAGTGGGTACTATTTAAACCAGCATCAATGTCTAGTGATATGGCCAACTGTCCACTCTTCCATGCCAAATACAGGAGGAAATGAGAACAGGAAGAAACCAAGTAAGCATGGCGTCCACTGCAAGACAGAAGTGACAAGATTAAAAAGCCACCCTGCAAAAAGTGAGCTACTAGATTTGGGGGACAGAAAGCAACAGTGAGGTTAAAGATGAATAGATACTAGTTACATTAGCATAGACGTGTGAACTGTGCTGCTGTAGCTACACCATCCATCTGTCCTGTGCACTAAGCACATCCAGAAGAAAAGGACTGGGAAGAGTTCAGTCTACGAAGCACAGACACGCACCTCCTGCCTCAGCCTGAATCTGTCCTTTGATGTAATTAGCAGAGAAAACAGGCTGCTCAATAGAGCACCCTTTCACCAAATAAAATGGCATCATAAAAGACAGCATGGGATCCTTGCCCTTGGACACGAAGATCATCTGCAAGACAGGAAGGAACACTCTGGAATTAGTTAATCAGGTTATGGAGTTCTAGTTGCAGCAGCATCCAAAAACAAGATAATGTAACCCCTACTACCAGAACATATTGTGTTGTTTCACAGCAGTCATGCAATGGGATACCAAACAGATCAGAGGGTGTGACTCACTCACATGAACATCGCAGGTTCCAAAACAGCATACTGTTTAGGACACACACAGACATTTCATTTTAAAGGATAATTTATGAGAGTTTTCCAGTGAAGTAATTACCTATTAGCATGTTGCATTAAATCACAACATGCTGATTGGGACAGACACAGCCTGGTGGAAGTAGGGGAGTCTGTGTCTTTCTCCTACCTAGGATTTACAGTGGTTCCTCCCATAACAAAAATCACTTCTCCTGCCTCCAGCTATGATTGTTGTCCAAAGCCTATGAGATCCCTGGAGAAAAGGGAAGCCCTGTTGGCATCAGACTTACCCTGTATGGTGTGAGATACAGCATTCCTTTCTTGGTGCCTTTGAAGGCTTCAGGCTTGCCAGTCACGTCACTGAAGGAGAGCTCCACATCTTTACACTGCTTGAGAATGCTAGGAGGAAATCAGACTAGTTGGAGACAACCTCAGCTCTAATGCACAGACATCCATCACACAAATCCTAAGCATTATCCCAACACACTCAATTCTAACACAGGGTCTGGAGTTTTTCTTTTGGATGCACAAGGTTAACTCGTGCAGAGTGGAAGAATTCGTCCTCTCACCTTTGACAAGCCCTGCTCCTCCTCCACAAAGGGAAACTTTAAACAAGAGGAAGAGAAGCTGCCTCCAGAATGAGGCTAAAGGAATTGCTCTCTTTGCACAGGCAACAGCCTGAGTCTGAGCCTGGCAGGGCACAGAACAGGATGAGCTTTCTGATATCCACTCCTGAAGTCAAGGTATAGACCTCAGAGCAAACCCCTCTCCATGATCACATCCAGGACTGGCCAGCAGAGGGGAAAACAAAATTGCCTGAATGCCACACCTACTGCATGAGCTGAGGAAATTGCTTCACAGTACCCTCACTGCTGACCCTACTTCACATGATTTAAGGAAATATTTGTGATGAGGACTGCTGTGCTAAGGAAAAAAAAACAACAAAAAAAACAAAAAAAAAACCAACAAAAAACAAGGAGCCATAAATGTCAGCAATAAGACTGTAATTGCTATTGTTGGTTATCTACAGGAACATTAGCAGACTCTGCTTGTAAAATCATGTGGGAACAAAGAGATGGGAACTGCAAACACCAGGGGTACAGAGGGACCCGAAAAATTAAATACATTTTAAGGAAAACTGAAATAATCATTCTGGGAAAGAGCATCACTGAACTGAGAGGGCAAACTCCAAACATAGCACTCAGTAAAGGAAGCTGCAGAATAAACAGAACCTTGGATGCCACAAGTTTGCTGCTTGTTTCAGTGGGTAAAAAATCTGAGGTGTTTTTTTGGTTCAAGGGCACAGAAAAAGGAAAAACAAAACCCAAATTCAACACTGGATCTAAAGTTATTTTACATATTCCGATCAGTACACTGTAGAAAACAGATCACATCAGGAAACTACAAAATCATCGAGAAGAACCAGCAGGGCCAGGATATGTGAAAACAACCAAGAGCACAGTACTTTCACACTGCATGCTATTCAGGGAAAAGAAAACATAATATATAATAACATATATCTGAAAAATTCTGCTACCCTAGAAGGAGGACATTAAGAAGTCTAGCTTTAATGAGGCGGGGGGGAAGCCCTGACAAAAAGTCTGCAGGGACTTTATCATTCAGTTATATGTAGATTTTGTCAATGCCTGGGAGTGACAAACGCAGCAGAGATCTATTTTCAAGTTACAAAGGTGGAATATTCTCCCAAGATAAGACAAACTATCTCCTCAACACTCAGAACCTTACCAGAGTACTTCCCAAACCACATAACACAGCAGAATTTCAGGTTTGTTTGCTTCAGTGGGAAGAATTTATGTGGTCACTTAATGCTTACTCCTGCCCAAGCACTCACATAAACAAATAGCAAGACTGCCATCCATGCATGATTATGCTGCTGAGCTGGTTTGTACCCACTCAGGGCTGTCACAGGACAGCTGAGTGCCAATGGCTCAACACCGCCCTGGAGAACAGTTTGGGCTCTCAGACCTGAGCTCTACGTGGCCTGGCTCCATACTGGATTACCCAAAAATTAGACCATATGTCAGACAGCACGGACCAGAAGCCCCTTGTACTCCGGCAGCCTGAGGCCGTGCGCTGGCCCCCAGCAGACCCTGACCCCCAGCCGGCCCTCTCCTGACGCAGCTCCATGCTGCTCCCTCGGGCCCCGTCGCTGTCACACAGAGCAGAGCTCAGCGCTGCCCCTCCGCTCCCTGTGAGGAGCTGCAGCCGCCATCAGGTCCCCCCTCAGCTCTGCTCTGAGCCAACCATGGGAGCACAGCCGCTCTCCACACGCCCTGCCCTCCAGGCCCTTCGCCACTTCTACAGCCCTCTCCGGAGACCTCAAACACCCTTCAAACCGCCCCTTAACCTGAGCAGCACGAGGCGCAGGCTGCGACTACCACAGCCGGGCAGCCCTACCCACCCAGGACAAGACGCGGCCCCAACGCCCCCAGAGCAGCCCAGCAACAACCCGAACCCTTTCCTCGCCCGCGGGCCCGGCACAGGGCTTCTCCCGTGGCCGTGGGTCCGCCCCCGCCCGCCGGTACCTCTCAGCATTGGGGACGACGACACCACCTTCCTTCGAGTGGTGCCTATTGAGCGCCATGGCTGCCGCTGCTTCCGCCGCCGGACTCCCTGTGTGTGACGTCACATCCGGCTGACGCTTCCGCCGCATGACTCTGTGTGACGTCACATCCGGTCGCTGTGGAAGGCGTGGTTTCATTTCTGCTCGCTGCCTGGCCTCAGGGAGCTGCTTGTTGTGGGGTTTTTCGCGTGTTTTTATGCTTTTTTCTTTTTTTCCTTCTTCTGGAGCGTAAACCTTGTCAAGGAGCCCACGGGCCTCTGTTGGCCTTGAATAGGCCTGACTCGTGAGGCAGGGTCTGTGCCTTTCTGCAGGCATCTCCCCACCTGCCCTGTGCTGCCCCGCTCGAAGAGCTTGTGTCTGTGTAGGGTTTGCTGTGGCATTGAAGGACACCAAGCTTGCTTTTCTCAGTGGGCCTTTATGCATCTCTTAAAAACAGTTCACTGTAGGAAATTACAGAGCAGAGCATCAAAACCACTTCATTACAACCAATCCCCCCAGAATGTTACACATACACAGCAAACCGCGTGGCCTTCATCCCACAGCCCAAGGTTCAGGCATGGAAGCGCTTCCAGCTTTGCTGCCAGCAGTTCCAGCTCTGCCATGCCCTGACTGGGTCTGGCATCATGGCAGATGACACATGGACATCTCTTGCCTGGTGACCATCATGCTCCAGTGATACATTGTGGAGAGCTGAAGTGGCTGGCTGGTGGCATGAGCTGGGAGGCTCTTACCCCATGACGGCTGATGTGTCTGTAGCAGCGTGACCTCTGCAAGGCCTGTATGGTGGCTGCAGATAGCAGTGAGGAGCAAAGTTCTTGTCAAGGCTGAAGAAGCCTGGTGCTGAGGTGGGATAGTGGGTACGAGGCTGTGTGAAGCACTGAATGCTATGAATGTGGTGGGGGAAAAGGATGAGAAAGGCTGAGAAGACCTTCGTGTCCTGGCAGTGCTGAGAAGAGCTGGTGTGCGTGGATGGATGGGAGTGGGATGGAAGAGACATTAGCTTTGCAAAGACAGCACCACAGAAAGCCACAATACGAACACGAGCTTCTAGATGGTTTCGCAACACTTGGATCACTCTCATCCTGGCCCTGAACATCTCTGTCCACAAACCTCAGGCTTTGCTTCAGTCATGCCAGCCTTTCCAGCCTCCTCCCAACCCCACATACTTCCCTCTACTTGCAGCACTATCATCCCACACCATAACCTTCTGCATGTGCGCTGCTAATGCAACCAGATGTTCTCCTGGGGTGCAGCCCCTGGCAGCTGGGTAGATGCTTCTTCTAGATGAGAGCAGACTGCCGTGCTCAGGGCAGTTGTGAGCCCTCTCAGAGTCATCGTCCCTGGAGTTGTTCCAGAATCATGTGGATGTGGCACATGTGGACATGGTTAGTGGGCACGGTGGTGGTCGGTCGATGGTTGGACAAAGTGATCTTAGAGGTCTTTGCCAACTATAATGATTCTATGAATCTATAATTTAGCCTCCAGTAAAACCCTGCATATTTCTCCTTATGGGTTTTTACCTTCTCTCCATGCTTTCTCCAAGTGAAGGTGAAACAGCAGCTTTTCAATATGACACAACAAAAGCACATTGATAAGGAAGAGGTGAATGCAGAGAAGGAGGAAAGGACTCAGAAAGGGAAGATTTTGAAGGACAGAAAGGGTTGGGAGCAGAGAAAGTGAGATAAGGAGAGAAAGGGAGAAAGCTATAGCGGGTTAAAAGGGAGTGAAGACAAAAGTAAAGGAGAGGACATGGGAGGCAGGAGAGCTGTATGAGGGGCAGGGGATTAGCACAGGCTGGGGCTGCTGGGGCTGCTGGAGTGACAAACATAGATATTTTGGTGAGGAGAAGGTATTTCTTGTGTTCCCATCACCAGTGGACACCAAGGAAGACATCTTGGTGTTCTTTTATTCTTTAATTCTGGAAAATATGGCTCTTTCCCCCAATTACTTTGATGTTTCTCAGATAGATGCTACGGCTCACAACCTGCCTCCTTCTACCACTCACTTTCCCTGAACCACAAAACCTGTCAATCTGTCACTTCTCCCATCTATTCACTTCCAAAGTGCCATTTCACTTTGCAAGCCACAGCAAAAAATGGAGATAAAATGCTGTGCCACCATCCTCCCTGAGCAGTCAGCTACCTTCCCACCCACAAAGAACTCTGCCATCTGCCCCAGAGTCTGTCCGTGCCACATCCCCAAGGAATAAAAACAGGACCCCAGCATGCCCCACACATCCCACTTCCAAAGCCCTCTTGCCCCTATAAGTTATTCCCCCACCCCCACTTCCCCCGGATAAGACACACAGCTGAGACACAGCAACGAGAGAAAGGAAGATGACAGACAGTCCACTGTGCAAAATACAAACCGAGAATGAGGACAGTTTGGGAAGGGCAGAGAAGATGCCTTTGGTCCCCCTCTGGCACACAGGTAGGCACACGCACACACACGCACCCTCTCACACACACAGAGGATGCTCCACACGCTTCAGAGACAGGCTCACGCTAGAGCCAGGGGTAGCAGGGATGGGTTGTCGTATCCAGAGACACCAGGTGATGTCAGGGGTGTCATTCACAGGTTACTTTCATGGTTTTCCTCTGTCTCAGAGGTCATGGGGGGCAGCCCTCCATTGTCATTCAGCCTCTTGGCCCTATAGGTCTCGTAGTGGATGTTGTGGGTCACTTCTTTCAGGTCCTGAAGGTGAGTCCTGCGTGGGACAAAGTGAAAGAGGATATGATAACCATCATCAGTGCTATCATTGTTAGCTTTCTGTCCATCACTGTATTCTCCAGTCAGTTCTCCAGTCAGTCTGGTTAGCAAACTTACCCTCTTCCTATACAGGTGCCATAATGCAATAGAGAGATGGAATATCTGTGTGTGTAGGCAGGATGCAGGAAATGGACTACAGTCTCTCTCTGTGCCCCCTACCCTGTCACTGGGCAGCACCACTGAAAAGATGGTCTAGGATGGGGTAGTGGATTCTTTATCACTGACTTCAATCCAAACCTATGTCAGCAACAACTAGAAGTTGTTGGAACCTAATGCAATTAATAGGATTAAAGAAGGGTGCTATTACCCTGTGTTCTTGATGTGTCCAGATCATACGAGAAAACCAGCACCTACTTGACACAGTGGTCAAGAGAGGCACTAGAGTAATACCCCTAAACTCAATCCAACCCTGCCCCACATAAGATTTTACTGCCTGAAAAGTGCTTTATCTTCCCTCCCATAAGGGCTATTTCACTCTATGTGGGTCTCAGGAAGATTCCCTTCTCATCAAGAGATGAGTATCATAGAATCATAGAATCACTCAGGCTGGAAAAAAACTCAAAGATCATCAAGTCCAACCATGACCTAACCATTGTACCTAACTAAAAACCCTAAATCATGGGCATGACTGTGGTCTTACCTAATGACAAAATCTCGAAGCAGGGCAAATTCACAGTGAGTGAGGTTTTCCACTGAAAAGAAAGCAAGGAAATGTTACAATTGATTTTTCAGCAACCTGTTTGTGGTTACAGAGCATGGGATGGTCACTGCTATGGGACATGCATGTTTCAGGTGGCATGCTTCAGAAAGAATGGACAGTTGTGTGAACAGCAGACAAGCTCTCTCAGGCATTGAGCAGATATGCGGAGTGGTCACAGGTGGGTTTTCACAGGAAAACCAAGGAGAGCAGCTTCACACACCCCATGGTGTTGAGGATGGTTCTGCCAGTTAGCAATAGTGGTAGCACACTGACAATGGCAGTTCTCTCCAAGCAGAGCGACTTGAGAGTTCTCTTATTGCTCAGTTTCAAACAAACAAACAAACAAAAACCAACCACAAAGACAAAAGGCATGGGAAAATAGCTATGGGAAGTGTTATCAGGACCCTGTTATTATCTCCCAGAAGCAAGAATTTCCTTACCTTCAATGATTCCCCAGGGTGTTTTCCTGCCCAGGACTCTTTTGCCATTCACTTGGTACTCCTTGTCACTGCCCACTACTGCGAAGGGCATGCTTTCCTGCTAGGGAAAGATATGTGGAGACATCTATCAAACCTGTTCCAGAGAGCAGCACCATCACTGTTCCTTAGCCACCTCTCCTCGCACCTCTTCAAATGCAAAGCCTTCTGCAAGGGAGGAGGTTCTCCACAGCAAAACTCCACTCATCATTGCTATCCATAGCACTTTGGGCTCTTGCTTTATTGGTGTTCTTGCACCCCCTGGGCTTAGTGTGTACCTTAAATCAATGCCAAAGTCTCCAGAGAAGGGAGTAGAGCTTTTCTGCACACATCTCCAGCATTTCTGAAGGGCAAGGTGACCAGAGAGGAGGTGCTTTGGCATACCAGGTGAGTGTCTATCATCCTGGGGCTCCTCACAGGAATACCTTGCAGAGAGTTTTTCTCATCAAGTTTGCAGTTCTTCGCTAGAAAATCTCACAATCCCCTCAACAGAACATATTAATATTCAAAGCTCAATTACTGAAATGGTTGTACTGAGGAAGGCCAGAAAACCCTGGGAAGTGGGACAGTAGGTGAAACTACTGTGGATCAAGATATCTTTATGCACAGGGAGAAAGTTCCTGCTTCCAGAGAACAGACTGTGAGAGATTCTACTACCCATAAGGCTGTCTGCTGTTCATAGATTTATCCTGCTTTGTAGACTTCCCTGGACCTGGGAAGGGATTGCAATTACCACAGGAGTGGGATATTTTATTATTATTTACTCTTTATTATTAAGTTTATTTCTTACATGTGAGACTACCAAACCCAAAGCAATTAGGCTGAAGTACAGAACAAATTGTGGTGCCTTCCTCTCAAACAGTAACAGTTTGGAGGAGAAGCAAAACCCATCTGGTCTCCCCAGAGCATGTGATGTGTTGCCAAATGGGAAATGATTAATGAATCTGGGGGAGGTGGGAATTTCTGCTGGGGCTGTGGCAGCTAGGGAGCTTGAAGGAGCAAGTGTCAGGCTGCCAGGCAGTTAGTTACTGCTAGAGTTTCTTGACAACTAATGTGGAAGACAATATTTCCATGAATAGTTTAGCCCTAAAAATAATGAGTGGACTAACTAAATGCAGTAGCATCACAAAGCCAGGAGGTGTTGTCAGCACAGAGGCAGAC